AAATAACGGTTCGTGATTCGTGAATCACGAATAAATTATCATTTTTCACGAACCCAATTTCATAGAAATTGATCAAAATCACGAATCAAAAGTTTCTCTCAAATTGTTTGATGTTTAAAAATATACAATAATAAATTCAATTATTTGTAAATGTGATGAAGGATCATATATTCTGAAGATATTGATGTTAGATTGTACTTAAAAACGATTATAATTCCACCCAAAATTATATTTCTTTGCGAATTTGGGATGTATATTGATGTATACTATACATAAGACAAAATTCCTTGAAAATTCCTTAAAATTGCCTTAAAATAAGAAAACTAATTTACGAACCATTTTTTCAGAATTAATTCGAACCCTGCCCCCCTAAGTGCCTCGCGCATTCGCCGCCCGCAAAACTAGATTGTACATCCGAAAACTTTGACTAACGTACGAAAAATCCTGGATCCGCCCCTGGTCCATAACGGTTTTAATCCTGTGCTTTCACAGTCAAGATAGCACTATTGTTTACACACACATAGTTAGCGATGTTTGGGAAATATTCCATTATAAAATAAATCCTTTGGCTTTGTTGAATATCGGACAGGATGCACTTCAAAAATAAACAACCATATCGTTCATTTAGTTTCGTTTGATCGTCAGTCGGTATAGAATTGGGAAGACTTATATGTTTCTACGGCGATGCGTGCTCAACTTCGCAAGCCAGGCGCGTGTGGAGTCCTTGGAAGTGAAATATGATCCAGCTTATCGCTTGAAATGTACCGCAACACTTATAATTGATGACATTCGATATAGCAGGAAGTTGTGTCATGATGAATACGAATTTAAAACTGTTCCTTTCACGATTTCTTGTTTGCAAATTACATTTTTATCACCCGAAACTATAACAGATAAAATTGCAATTTTCCAAACGTAGCAAACAGACTCCTCTACCACCCCTCCCTGAGATCAATTCAATTTACCACGCAGAATCTGCGGGGTCACGTGACCAGCCCCGACCATGGTCTTTGCTTCACAAGAGCAAAGAGCATGGGAACGAGGTTGGGGAGGGGGTTATATTCGGAAGTTTATGGTATACAGTTGAAAAAAGCTTGTATTTTCTTGTCATATAGACACACATTTTTGGGTGCATATAGAACAGCTTATACATTGGGTTCTCAAGTCAATTCAATGGTAATTTGATATCGCTGCCATCACCATAGTATAGTGTAGCACAGAATGGCCTTGTATCATGCATGCAGAAATGCCTTGGTCATTCAGTTTAGCCACTTGATCTTACATCAGTGCATTTAGTGGAGATATCACTATCACGATAGAATTAGTTACGCCAAGTAACATGTCGTACACGTCAGGTAGCAGCTGACTAATATTTTAATATTTGGCATAATAACCCTATAAATTACGGGAACCACTGAGTATTTTGATAAAATACAAAACAATAGATACTCCGAAAATTGAAAGCATTTTGAAAATCATTACAATTATGACTATAGTTTAGTCGAAACGTTGAAATAAATTTTCAAAATGCTTTTAATTTTTGGAGTATCTATTAGTAGCTAATATAGGCCGGTCCTAGGACAAAATGGTTAATACTTCATGTAAGGCAAATTATAGTGGAACCAGGCAAGTATGGGCATGCCTGGAATGGGATTCCTAGAAATCAGAATTCCCGGTCGTTTTGGCGCCAGTTCGTGAGTTATTTTATACATAAGACTTGCTATTCGTCTAGAGCAAGTTCAGATTGACCGTGTTCGTTTATACGGCCAGTAATAACTCTAGCTGCCCTATTTTGTAGTTTCTCGAGTCGATCAGAAAGAGTGGCACCAATGGTGTCCCAAACTTCGCAACAATAATCTAGGCGTGGAAGTATAAGTGCATTATAAGCATAAATTAATGTATTATGATCCACACAAGATTTTAGCTTTCTGATCGCCCCAATTCCGGATGAAATCTTCTTAGCAATTTTATCAATATGCTTATCCCACAATAGAAACTCGTCAATATAAACTCCAAGTGCTTTTGTTTCTTTGACCTTTTTAATTGGTGTATCACCAACAAATACATTTGGAGCAGCAAGTAAATTATTTATGTTGTACCGAGATCCTATTAGTAGATACTCAGTTTTGACTAGATTAAGAGATAATCTATTTGCAGAAAGCCATTGTTTAACGTTGATGATTTAGGGGGTAAACCTGAGGGAAAGGAAGGCGGAACCCTGGAAGAGGCTTTTGCGTCCACCTACGGATAAATAAAGGAGTACTTGGATTAGTTTAAATTTTAATGTTCCTTCGGATATTAAAACCGGTTTGTTAGGATTCCTATTACCTTAGGTCCTTATGTCCTATTGCCGTGGTGTGTATTCCGTCTTCATTAATTATCCTTTTGTCATCGCTTGCCGATAGGGCTACCTTCTATCTGTTTTTCTCCTGTTTCCATTTTCATCATCCCGATGGTCTTTTTGTTTACCCCGGTCGGGATTCCGGAGGGGTGGTTTTTACCGATGTTGCTGCTATCGAATTTTTCGTAAACATCTTTGGAAATGTCCTTGAAGAAGTCCTCGGTGTTAATTTCATAACATAGGGAGTCTGTGTCTGTGAATAGGAGTTTAGCATCATTCCCATACATTGGCTTGATGTAGTTATAGTGAAAGTCGTACATGAGGGTTTTGCTGATGTCCAGGATACTCATTCCTAGGTAGATGGGTTATCTGAGTTTTACGGAGGTTCTCCTCATATGAACTGCCGCTAGGTTTTCGGAAAAGATGGTTGCCGATTTGAAGTTATGCTTTTTGGCTAGCTTGTTCCATTTCTTTTCGTCGTTGACGATTCCGATATCAACCCTATTCCCTACGTTTTCCATGGTCTTTCCAAATACGGAGTTATTCATAAGTTTGAAGAAATCTTTTTCGAAGTCTGTGGTTCCTCTGGTACGGAGGTCTGTGTTCAGCTGGATGTATTCTTTCATCCAGTCCCTTTCGAGGAATTTAACTCCGCGGTGTATTTTGATTAGCTTCAACCCCAAGCTCAGGTATTGCTTTAGGTTTGTGTGGTGGAGGACGTATTTTTCCTTATTGTTGAGGTTAGGGATGAGCTTTTCCGTCTTGTTAATCATCATCCTTTCGGGTGCCAGAGGGTATTCGTTGTGTAGGTCGTGGAGATCGTCGGGGTATTCGAGATCCACTTCGAGGATACAACTGTGTTCCTCCCATTTTTCCAACTCGTTGCTGTTCATCCATTTGAAGTCCTTGATGGGTAGGGGCTGACTCATTGCCCATCCGTAGAGGTTGTTTGCGTCCATATAGGGGAGGTACTTGCTTTTCTTCATGGGATCGTAGTTAGCCATGTACTTGTTGTTGGCTATGGCATGTCTTTTGGTGATGGTGCTGATTCCTCCGCGGATTCCCCTTTCTATGAGTAGGTACATGTCTGGATCTGATATAAGTTCTGATTCCACTTTGGTTAGTTTTAGTCTTTTAGACACGCATCCCAGGCAAGTCCTGGCGCTGTGTAGTACCACAAGGGGTCGAGTCCGTAGTTTGCTCTTCATACCTTTCTGAAGTTTCCCATTATGTCTGCTAGTAGGAGTACGTCCGTTTTAAGGTAGAGGTCGTGATAGTCCCTCATGGTTTTCATGCCGAAGGTGTTCCACACGTTTTGTATACGCCTTTCTGCTTAAGGCTTTCCCGTTGCTCCGTGGTGTAGTGAGATGTCATCAGGTCCATATTTTCGAAGTCGTCCTTACCTCGACTTAATCGTGAGTTAGTCCAGGGAGCTTGCCATAAATTTGAAGGAGTCCAGGAATCTTAATTCCCTTTTGACCTTCTTTTCCTTACCGTCCTTACCTTTAAACTTATCGACCTCTACTTCTTTGGTAAAGGATATGTATTTTTCTTCCATCTTGGGAATGCATTTGATGTCTCCACTGCTCACTCCGAGGTTTTTGATGAATAGGTGGGCATCGTACCCTTCGAGATTGTGGAATTGGACGGGAATGAATTTTGGTTTCTTCATCTTCAGGTTGCATGAATTGTGTGCTGCACCTCTGTACTTTCCTGTGTAGTGGCAGTGGTCGCTGACTTTGTAGTCGCTTTCTGTAAATTCCCCTTCGCATGCATAGCATTGTGTGTACAGGTTGTAATTTTTGGTGTCTTTAGAGGTCATCCTAATGGGATCCAGCGTTTTAAATCGGTTGTAAATATCCCTTCTTTCCTCTACAAGCATGTCCACAAATTTTTTGGTGATGTCTTCCCCCTCATACTGCTGGGTATAGTGTACCAGCTTGGGTTTGTAGATGGAGTCGTCGAAGCACTTAATGTAGTAGCAGAATCCGCTGGGGTTGTGTTTCTGGTATTGTGTGGTACTTGACTCGTCCGGTTTTTGTTCCTTTGTATCCAATTCCCTGATGTAGCATTCAAAGTCTGGGTAAATGGTAATTGGAAATTCCTGTGTCTTTTCATAGTTTTCGAATTTTGTGGTGCTACCGGGTTTTGGATATTCGTGTCTTTGGTAGTCGTTGTTCGAGCATAATTCCAAGTGTTTTTCTAGGAATTCGTTTGACCCGAACGCGTTAAGGTATCGGTCGCATATGTATTTTTTGTGTTCGTTCTTGCTGATTTGTGAACCTACGAGTTTTGACATGTCCTTAACGACGCTGTAGTGGTTTTTCCATAGGAAGAGTCTTATGGGATCGGTTTTTCCTGGTACTCATAAGAGGTAGACCTTGTGGCTTTCGTCGGCACTGAATACGTTAATACCGATGTTGTTATTGTTTTTCTCGAATTTTTTAATGTCATCTATTGGTGTTGGGAATTCGATCCCTTCCCAGTTTAACTCTTCGGATTGTTTTCTGAGTTCTTTTGAAATTCTTTCCAGATGGGTGTCGGTGGGATTTAAGGCACGTGTGACAGCCCACTTGAAACATTCGTTGTCGTCGTTCTTCATGTTAATAATTGCTTTTTTTGCTGGCTATGGATTTGGGTAGTTATTCGTGTTTCTTACTCCTAAGTGGTTGGAACTCTCCGATGTGGATCTCCAACTGGGTAACTCTTCGTAGACACCATCCACTGCCCCTCCTCTGGTATTCCGAAAAGGACTTTAGCATCTTTTCCCTCATGATGCTTTGGGTTTCTTCTGTATCATCCGTGCCGATAAGTTTGTGATTTTTTGATCCGAAGTGAGCGACGGTTGACACTTCTTCCCCGGTTTTGGGATCGCTTCTTACCATTTCGCAGGCTAAGGACATCCTTACGTTCCTGGGTTCCGTTTCGGAGTTTATGAGTGTTTACCTCGTTTTCCGTGATGGTTAGGAAGTAGGCTGGGTCGTAGTTACCGTTTGGGGTGATGACGTACTTCTTTACCTTTTTCTTGATGGTGTGTTTGGCTAGAATGGGTTTCAGGATTTCCCTCGGTTTTCCCAGATTTTGCTAAGCTTGTCGCCCACCTTTAACTGGAATCTGGCAAACTTTTTCTTGCCTTTCCATTTACCCTCTGCGATTCTACGGTTTTCCTCAGCTCGCCTTTCGCGGGCCTTTGCATTTCGTCGTAGTCGCTGGGTCTCCTTTTTGCACTTTTGTCCCTCGGCTTTCCAGTCCGTGACCTCTTTTCGCCGTCTCTTCTCTTCTTTAGCGATATCGCTTTTCCATCTTTTTGCATCCCTTATTTCATTTCGTGCGTTAGCATCGGCTTGCTTCCTTCGTCTTTGGAACTGTCTTGCTGCTGATTAACTTCCTTTCCGATTATTTTTCTCTTCTCCTTTTTGAGTAGTTCGTCGAAATTGTTGTTAATTTTCTTCTCTATTTTTAGACCTCTCTCTCGGGCCTTTTCCAGAACGTTAGTTCTCATTCGTTCAATAGATTCGAATTTTTTGTCCGAAATTGGAGCATTCTGTTTGGTAAACTCCATTACTTTATTATATAGAAAAGTTTATCTATAAGGTGATTATAAGGTTGATTCTGTTTTTCAGACCTATAAGTTTTGAAAAAAGCAATGGAGTTCACAAAATGCTCACGGAATCGGACGTATGAGAAATGTTCCTTCTATTGTATAGGATTTATTTTGGAAAAGTTGATTCTGTTTGTAAGTCAGGGGATCCGCAGTTGTTTCTTTTAATTTGTTAACCCCGCCAGGTCACTACCTTGCTAAATTTCAGCATGAAAATGTATGAGAATACATGAAAACACACTGTTTTAGGCAGGGATTTGCAATTGTGTCTTTGGATTTGACAACCTCGCCAAGTCACTACCTGGCAACCTTAATCAATCTGACCCTGAATGGGTTTCCCTCATTTCAGCATCCATCTGCATTTCCTCTAACATTTCCATCTCTCCTATCCGTGCCTCTTCTATAATCGCTTCGTTTTCCATATCCATTATTCTTTCTTCTTCCCTTTTCTTCTGACCATTCCTCCCAAGACATACACATACGGAACAAATTATTTATAATATCTGTGGGTGTACCTAGGTGAATCCTGCCTTCTGGACCTTCAAGCTAACAATCAATCACATCGACGGATTCGGAAATGGTAATTAAGATGTGAATGTCTTTCAGACCTCCGTAAAGGTAATCAACACCCCGAATTTCAGCGCCTTTTCCCATCCATCCTTTTTCAAATTTAATTCTATGTTTTGCTGGCAAACCCGTTTCACCAAATGTATGGATAATGACCGTTACGTCCTTGTAGTCGGTATACTTACACATTCTCGCAATTTGATTTATCTTCTCCGGACAGTTGAAATCGAGTTGGACTTTATTATCCTCCCTCCTGGTGAATTATCTCATGGTTGCTTTGTTTATATGTCGGGAAGTCTTGTCTATAGACTGTTTATTCTGAATTTGAGGTACTTCTGACTAGAACTGAGGTTACTCAAATATAGTCATGAGATTACTCAAATGTAGTCATAAGTTACTCAAATGTAGTCATAAGATACTTTTGACTAGATTTAAGGTTAGTCTCAACTAACTCTTGACTAGACTTAAAATTACTTAAAAGTTAGTCAAATGTAGTCGAAATTTACTCAGATCTAGTCACAACTAACTTTTGACTGGATTTAAGGTTAGTCAAATTCTACTATAAATAAAGAGGACCATGTCAGAAGAAAACCCAGATACGACAGCAGTACCTGTCACAAATCCAGTAAAGACCCACGTCAAGGATCCCAGAAGGGTGGAGTCAGGGCGTAGGCTTGCTAGGATCAGTATGGAAGCGAAAGCAAGAAAGAAGGCACGACTTGAGGAGCAGATCATTACGGACACAGAGGACAAAGGTGATGGGTCAATAGTCACCCTAGAGAGAGTCGGCTTGGTAGTAGGTATCGCCGTGGGGCTCGGATCCCTTTACTTCATGTGGCACAGCAGTCAGGAGAAGGACGAGAAACCCGAGGAAAATAAAACTGTAGAGGAACCGGAAACTGTTCTTATCACACCAAAAGGTTCTGACTTGTTTGACTAAAAAGAGAGTATAATAAAACAATGTCGCAGTTATTCTTGGACATACTGACCTTTTCCGTAGCAGCCGGAACTTATCTTATTTACATCCATGCGGCTAAGATGAAAGAAGCCAAACGCCAGGCAGCGGAAGCCGAACGCAAGGAAAGTGAAGACAGGATGCTCGACACCCTGGAAAGAAGATTCTCTATAATCCTGGAAGAGAAGCTAAAGGAGAAATAGTTCTACTAGAATAAAAAAACATAATGACCGACACGAAGAAGGAAGTGATCAACGAACTGTACGATGCGGCACTACTGACAACCGGAGTTGTTGGGGTGTCCTACCTTGCCAAAACGGTTGCCGGAAAAAGCCTCGGCGCACCGATGACCCTAGAAGGAGCAGCAAAGCTTGCCGTTGCCGTAGCCGGAAGTGCATTCACCATAGGATATCTTAAGGATAAGGGATACATCCCAAAAATAATTGACAAATAAAGAATGACATCTGTTGTGGTTGGAGGACTCTTTAATGCCGTGGCCTTTGCTGGAGCAGGTTTTCTATTTTCCAAGTTAAATGGACAAGGATACAAGGAAGAGGTGAAAAGACATAACCAAGCCTTAGAGAAGCTTGCAAAAGCCAAGGAGAAGTTTTACGAATCCGAGGTGAAGCGTAGGAACGACGAGGCAAGACGGAGGGCTGAGATCCTGGATGCTAACAAGGATATCGAGGAAACAAACAGGGCACTGGAAGACCTGAGTAGTATAGATATGCGGGTTCTAGCGCATTTTTGATCCGCTTTTTAAACCGGTTCAAACCGGTTCGGTAAATGTCGATTAATTAATGACGTCATTAATTAATTCAGGTTCGCTCCGTCCCTCTAACGCATTTTTTTTCCAAAATTCAATTATGACGTCATCAATCACGTGATCATTTTCCAAAAATTCAATGATGACGTAATCACGACTTTTGAAACGATTTTTTTTTTAATCCTTTCGAGAGAGCCGGTAGTGTCCTATTGCTAGAGTGTGTATCCCGTCGGATAGTACAACACGCTTATTGTCATTTGCCGAAAGTGCCGTTTTGTTAATTCTTTCCGTTGTTATTTCATGCTGTCGGCTTCGGAATGTATTCATTGTTCTATGTTGTTCTGTTCCTGAGAATAGACAATTTTTATAATCCTCGAATACTATTTCGTTTTTGACTACGCACTTTTTTACACCTTTACATTTCTTTTCCTCTTCTCCTTCGTCCATTTTATAGGCGTACAGTTTACTGCGGAGTCCAACGAATTCTGAAATTTGTTTTCCTCCACATTCATCTTTCATCATCCCTACAACTTTTTTATTTTTTCCAACTGGTATTCCGCTACTGTGGTCTTTGTCGTAATTGCTTGTATCGAACCATTTTTCAACATCCGGTGTGATGTCTTTGTAGAAATCTTCCGTTTTAATTTCATAACGCAGACTGTCTGTGTCTGTGAAGAGTAGGTTTGCGTTATTACCGTATTTTGGTTTGATGTAGTTATAGTGGAAGTTATACATGAGTGTTTTGCTTAGGTCTAGGATGCTCATTCCTAGGTATATAGGTTTTACAAGTTTGACAGTGGTTTTTTCCATGTGAACGGCGATTAAGTTTTCTGTGAAAATGTTTACACCTTTGAAGTATGACTTTTTCGCGAGCTTGTTTAACTGCTCCTCGGTGGTCACTAGTTTAACGTTTACTCTGTTCCGGACATTTTCCATGGTCTTTCCAAATACTGAGTTATTCATTAGTTTAAAGAAGTTCTTTTCAAAGTCTGTTGTACCTTTTGTTCTAAGATTTGTGTTAAGTTGTATGTATTTTGCTAACCATGGACTTTCTTCAAATTTTACCCCACGATGTACTTTTGTTAGTTTTAGCCCTAATTTTAGATATAGTTTCAGGTTTCTATAATGCAGTACATAGTTTTTCTTATCGTTTAAGTTTGGGATTAATTTCTTGACTTTATTTACTTCTATGCTTTCCGGTGCGAGTGGATATTCGTTATGGATGTCATGTAGATTTTCTGGATATTCCAAGTCCACTTCCAGTATGCATGGAATGTTTTCCCAGTTGCTTAGTTCAGTCTCTGTCATCCACTTGAAGTTTCTGACTGGCAATGGTTGACTCATTGCCCATCCATATAAGTTATTAGCGTCTAAGTATGGTGTGTATATGTTATCCTTTTTCGGATCATAATTTTTCATATATTTGTTATTTGCCTTCGCATATCTTTTCATTATCGTGCTGACTCCACCTCGTATTCCTTTTTCGATCATGAGGTACATGTTTGGGTTGTGAATAAGTTCTAATTCTATTTTTGTGATTTTTAGCGCCGCATCCCAAGCGAGTCCTGGCGCTGTGTAATAATGTAATGGATCTAATCCGTAATTTTCCATACATATTTTTCTGAATCTATACATAACATCTGTGAGCAACAGTACGTCTGTTTTGAGATACAGATCGTGGTAGTCACGCATCGTTTTACAGTCAAACGTCTTCCAGACTTTTTGTGCGTGTTCATAGTCCTCGTCGTTTATATCTGTGTTATTTAACTTACTGTAAAATTCTTTCTTACTGGGTAGCTTATCATACTGCAATTTGTCATAGCCTGTCATGAACTCATATGGAAACACCCCTTTTCTCTTCAGTAGCTCTATTCCTGAGTGTTTCATTTGACTTTCCAATGTTCTGAAGTCATCCTCGCCGAGCGTGTTGGCGAGGGAATCAAGTGACGCAAGTGTGAACTTGTATGAGTCTATGAACCGCATTTCCAGATATAATGTCTTTTCTCCATCGGGTAATATGATGGTTTCCATGGGAATTTTCTTACTAAATGATATATACTTTTCGTCTGTTTTTGGAATGCAATTAATATCACCCTCACTTAGTCCCAGGCTTTTTACAAACAAGTGTGCATCACAACTTTCCAGATTGTGAAAAAGTATTGGCACGAATTTTGGTGTCCTCATTCGGAGGTTACATTTGTCGCATGCGGCTCCTCGATATTTGCCAGTGATATGACAGTGATCTCTACACTTAATTACTTTTTCTTCCTTACCGTTCCACTCGTTTATTCTGACGGTTCCGAATTGTATACCACATGCATAACAGTTGTCAGATTCAGTGTAGTTCTTTTCATCCTTTTCCGTCATGCTTATTGGTGTTACTTTTTTAAGAATTTCGTACACTGGTTTCAAATTTTCCTGCAATGAGTCAATGAACATCTTTCCGATATCCTCATTCCTATTCTGTGCCGTGTATGTTACAAATTTTGTCTTGTAAACGCTCTCATCCATACATTTTATCGTGTATGAGAATCCGCTTGGTTTGTGCTTTTGATATTGAATTGTGTATGACTTAGTTGGATCACCTTCCACATGATCCATTGGTTCTAAAAAACATTCGAAATCTGCGTTTACCATGAATGGTACTTCGTGTAACCGTTCGAAATTTGTGAAGAATGTTGTGCTACCTTTGGATGGATAGTAATGGTGTTGTAGTTCATGATTTTTACATAGTGCTGTGTGTTCAGCTAGGAGTATTTCCGTCCCGAATGCATTTATACATCGTAAGCAGATGAATTTCCGCCGTTTACCCTTGCTAAGTTGTGACGCTATGAGACGACTTAGATCTTTGATTACGCAGTAGTGACTGTCATCGTGTAGATATAGGTTTACTGTTTCCGTTGGATTTTCTTGCTCTCCGAGTTTTAACGTATATAATTTTTTTGTTTCCTCATCGTATCCGAATACGTTAATGTTTATATTATTTTTCTCTTCCCATTTGTGAATATCTTTAACTTTCGTTGGGAACTCTATGTCTTTCCAATTATATTTCTCAGTCTGTAATTTTAAGATCTTTGTGACTCTACATGCGTCACGTTTCGCAGGATTCAGAGCTCTAGTCACTGCCCATTTAAAACATTGGTTGTCCTCGTTTTTTATGTAAATGATGGCATTCTTTCCCTTTAGAGGTTTTGGGAGCGGTGTTGTATATCCCTTCCCTTTCAACGGTTCATACTTTGTGACAGACACTTCTAACTTTTCCACTTTGTGTAATCTCCAACCACTACCATTCTTTTGGAATTTCGCAAGACTTTCTAATATTTTTTCACGCATTTTTTCATACTCTCCGCTGATGTTAACTGTGATTGCGTGAGTATTACTTCTTCCGTGGAATGGTGTGTATGTTTTCTGTTCGGTTTTTTCATCTTCTTTTACGAGTTCACAGGTTAATACTAGATATACTTTCTTTGCACCTTCAACGCCGTTGACGATCCTTTCCACTTCAGGTCTTGCACTGTTTAAGAAGACCCAAGGATCTTTAAATTCATCACTGGGTATCATCCATTTAGCAGTATTCTTTTTGATAGCACTAGAGACTAATATTGATTTTACCGCTGGCTGCTTACCATACAGACTTAAAACCTTGTTTTTAAATATTCTGTATGCGTCGGTGACTTTCCTTCTTATATCTTTCGGCACGTCTTTGACTAGCCACTCACCCCATTCACGCCATGTGTATGTTCTTGTTTCTGCTGGTGGAGGTGGTGGTGGTTCGTACCTGGTCGGTGTTAGGGTTGGTGGTAAGCCGCTGGGAATATCTGTGTCTAATAAAGATTCTGACCTATTCGAATCCATACTTTATTGTATGTGTGGTTCCCCTGAAAGAGAAATCGTTTCACATAGTCATTTTTCTTTTTCAAATTTTTGAGATTTGAAAAAGCAATGAATCCAGACTCGGGGATATAGATCTTGTCGCGAAACGTGACCAGATCAGCGTAATGGAGGGTGGACGCTTCACCCACCTTCCCACAATGCTTGGGGAAAGGACGAGAACAACACTTGGAGAAATCGGAGGGGTGCGGAAATTATTTCCGCACCCCTTACACACCTGGCGGTATACAACCCAACAGGATTTTTTGTTTCCGTTTTTTTTTCATAATAGTCTCGTAATTATGAACCCAGACCCCAGACCTAGTATTCCGATCGTGATCTGCTGGTATTCTTCCATTTCGCTCGATGGTTTGTAGTAATCGTGGATTGTCGGCTCTTTGTCCAGAGTTAATTCCTCCTGCGCTTTCCGCAGAGAGTCAAGAGCGTGGTTTGTCACTTCCATATCCGATTTGGCATCGGCTAGTTCTTGCCTAAGTATTGCAATTCTGTTCTTTTTTTCCACTTGACTTTCATACCATTTTTCTTTGGCTTTGGCTAATTTTCCCAGTGCTTTGTTATGTCTTTTCATTTCACCTTCGTATCCGCTATGGTTTAATTTGCTGAACAGGAATCCGGCTCCTGCGAATGCTACGGCGTTGAAT